AGCAATTACATTTATAACAGCATCAAAAAGAATAAAAAAATACTTGGGTATAACCCGTAACAAAAGAACTAAAAGACTTGTACACCAAAAACTAGAAAAGATTATTGAGAAAATTAAAGATCTAAAGAAATAGGAAGATATTCGTGTTTGTGGACTGGAAGACTTAATATCGTTCAGATGGCACTACTCAAATTGATCTACAGAGTCAACACATAAACATCAAAACCCAAGCTGGCTTTTTTTTGTGTGTGTGTGGCAGAAATAGATAAGCTGATCCTAAAATTTATATGGAATTGCAAGGAATCCAGAATAGCCAAAACAATCTTGAAAAAGAACAAAGTTGGATAAGTCACACTCTCAATTTCAAAACAAAGCTACAATAATGAAGACTACACAGTACTGTAATAAGGACAGACATACAGATCAATGGAATAGAACTGAGGGTCCAAAACATAAAACGCATAAATCTGTGACCAACTGATTTTCAACAAGAGTGCCAAGACAATTCAATGAGATAATAAATAATCTTTTCAACAAATGATACTAGGCCAACTGCATATCCACATCCAAAAGAATGAAGTTGTATCTGTACCTCAAACCATACAAGAAAAATGAACTCAACATGGATGAAAAGCCTGAAAGAGCTAAAAGTATAAAACTCTTAGAAGAAAGCTTAGGAGTAAATCTTCCTGACTTTGGATTAGGCAGCAGTTTCATAGATGGGATAACAACAATAAAAAAGAAACAAAAGAAAAAATAAACTAGACTTCATCAAAATTAGAAACTTGTGATGCAAACAATTCTACCCAGTAAATGAACAAACAACCTACAGAATGGAAGGAAATAATTGGAAATCATTTATCTCATAAGGAACTTATATCTAGAATATATACAGAACTGTTTCAACTCAATAATTAAAAGACAACTGAATTGAAAAGATGGTCAGAGGACTAAAAGATATTTTTTCCAAACAAGGTAATGGCCAATTAGCACACAAAAAGATGCTCAACATAATTAATCATTAGGGAAATGTGTAAATGAAAACCACAGTGAGATACTACTTCACACCCACTGAGATAGCTATGATCAAAAGATGCACAGTAACAAGTGTTGACAAGGATGCAGAGAAGTTGCCACCCTCATACGTAGCTGGTGGGATTGTAAAATGGTGCAGTCACTGTAGAAACAGCTTGTCAGTTCCTCAAAGTTAAACACAGCATTACCGAGCAATACCTGGTAATTCCACCCAAGAAAATCGAAAGCATATGTCCACACAAATGTACATGAATGTTCACAGCAGCATTATTCATAATAGCCAAAAAGTGGAAACAATCCAATGTCCATCAATTGATGAATGGATGAATAAAATATGGTACACAAGGGGACTTCAAGAAGTTCATGGAAAAACAAAATTAAGAGATATTATGAATCTTCCCATGAACTTCTTGAAGACCCCTTGTGTATATCCATACAATGGAATATTATTAAGTAATAAAAAGGAATGAGGTACTTATTCATGTGACAACACGGACGAACTTTGAAAACATTATGCTAGTGAAAGAAGCCAGTCACAAGAGGCCAAATACTACATGATTTCATTTATATGAAACGTCCAGCACAGGCAGATCTATAGACAGACAGTATATTAGTAGTTGATTAGTGCTGAATGTGGCAGATATAGGGGCAATGCGGAGTGACAGCTAATTGGTATAGGGTTTCTTATAGGGAGAACCAAAATTAGATAGTGATGGTAGTTGCATAACCCTATCAAGAAACTAAAAAACACTGAAAACACTTTAAATAGATGAATTGTATAGTATGTGAATTATACTTCAATAATGCTGGTAAATAAATAAATCACAGTAAAATAATTTATATTCTTTATAATTAGTTAGCCTAGTAAGCTTTGTTATTAGTGAGTCAAAATAAAAACCCTGTATTCCGCTTAAAAAAATGTAAGGAAGCAAATAAGTTACTCATAAACCTGTTATCCAGAGATAACTTTTCCTTCTGTGCTTGCTTATTTAAAAGTATGTCTGGGGGGCCGGCCCGGTGGCACACTGCTACAGTGCAGCACTTGGGAGTGCGGCGGCGCTCCGGCCGAGGGTTCGGATCCCACATACAGACCGGTGCCCGCTCACTAGCTGAGCGAGGTGCGGACGCAGCACCGAGGGTTGCGATCCCGTTGCCGGTCCTGGTCTGGTACGGGCGCGACACTGAGGGTTGCGATCCATTGCCAGACACGAAAAAAGATTTAAAAAAAGGAAAAAAAAAAAATTATGTCTGGGCCGAGCCCATGGCACACTCGGGAGAGTGCGGCGCTGGGAGTGCAGCAGCGCTCCCGCCGCGGGTTCGGATCCTATATAGGGATGACCGGTGCACTCACAGCGCTCACTGGCTGAGTGCGGTGAGGCCGGTCTCAAAAAGGACCAAAAAAAAAAAGTATGTCTGTCTCCATATCTGTATATAAACATCTGTATACATGTGTGTATA